TTGGGTGCCCTGACAGCGGGGTCAGGGGCCGATCCCTGACAAAAGCACATATATATTTCTCGATGTACATACAAGAAAATAAACTATAAAACTTTCCGCCCCTACCCTAGCCTTTCCTTCCACTACTTCACACACAACTGTAGTGTTATCTAGCATCAGTTTGTGGTAGGCAACAAGTACAATTAATAAGACATGGGGAGTTGGGAAGTGAATATACATCATATCATCACTAGAAGCGAGAGAGAGGGGGAGAGGGGAGAACACTGGATAAGGTGGTACTTGTCAGTGGGAGTCCTATATACTAGATGGTTGGGGAACAGATGAACATATGAAAATATCAAATTAACGCTGTCCTGGTACAGATGGCAATGCATAACTCATTGGTGAACCATAGAGCAAAAACCCACATAGCAAGCAGAAGCTGAAGAGTCCACAGGACAAACCACCAGAGATTAGCTCAATGGACTCAGAGACTAGTCCACTAGAGAAGAGACCACCAAGATGGCCCCGGATGTTGAACATAATGTGTCCAACCCCATACATCTAGAATAATGACACAGAGAGCCACAAAGACATGACAACCCAAGTAACCCAGAGTAGAAGTCCAGCCAGAGTCCGCTGAGTCCGCAGCGAAGGAGCAAGTGCACCATGCTCCCTTTGGATGTTCCAGCTAAGTTGAACATCGAAAGGGAACAACAACATTTACAAACAAATGCCAACAAATAACACAGATGCATTGCCCAGGTGATTTATTGATCAGTTTATGTTATATGTAACAGAAAGTGAGAGGATGGGACAATTTGATGAGGGAAAGCGGGTGGATTGCATGGAGAAATTGGGGACACGTGGTTTCCCCACCATTTCCACTGTCGGACAGCATGCATCAATTTTCCATCGACATTTCCGCTGTTGGATAAACAGGCTTCGATTTTCCATTGCAGAAAGGGCTGCGGAATTTTTGGCTTACAGTGAAAACCGGTTTATCAGGGAAAAAGGTGATGAGAAAGTCCCTGAATTGCTCAAATTGGAAGGGTGTCCGTGATGCACGTGCCTCTGTTGCCATCATGTTGAAAACTTCAAATTACCAAGTCAATGTTCGGAAAATCTCATAGGAGTAGTAGCATGGGCATGGAAGAAAGGATAGGTAAAGTGAAATGGGCACGTAGTGCCTTGATTTGCGAGATCTGACTTCTGAATATAACCTTCATAGGTTAATTGTTTTCAGATGTAAACAAGTTTGGTATTATGGTTGATGGGTTGTATACCTTTGGGGATTTAGGTTATCAGTAGAGGTTGCCAGTTCAAGTCCCAGTGTGGATGATATTTTTGTTGCACTTTCGACTTGTTTTGACTTGTTCTCTTTTCTCACTTTGGTGCTATTGGGCTCAGCATGCTTACAACTTTTTTTGAAAAGAAAAACTTTGAATGGAAGAGGCCAAAAGAGTGGCTAAGTTGAAAAGTATAGCAAAAAAAAACACCACCCAAAGGGAGCCTTGAACCAGCAACCCCTACCAACTACCTAAACAGACCTATATCGATAGCCCATCAGCCATAACACCAAACTTGTTCACAGTTAAAAACAATTAATCTATGAAGGTTAAATACCGAAGTCAGATCTCGCAAATCAAGGCACTATGTGCCCATTTGTCATGACCATGCATCCCGGCCCGTTAGCCGCCCATCCCGATGCCGCCTGAGCCCATTCCTGCTATGCGAGCCCCAACCTCAGCCCTATCCTCCATGAGGACTCCCTGCTCGCTTCCCCGCTTGCTCCTAGGCTCCCCTGCACCTGGCCGACTCCCCCACAGCCACACCGACCTCCCTGCCCCGAGTCCACCTCTGGCACCGACCTAGCGTGACTCCGCGACATCGCCTACTCCGCTATGATACCATCACCGCTATCGCGGCCCTACACCCCTTCGTTTATTTATCTGTTATTGTTTGTTTTGACCCTCGGTCATTGCCGGCCGCTGTGCGGCCAACCCCACTCGTTGTTCCTATTTGCTTCCGGACCCTTCGGCCTTCGGCCCGGGTCCGCTTCTATTCATTCTATCTTCATATATATATCCTGTATACTACATTATAGTACCTCAGCTCTAATATCGACTTGACCACGACCCCAAGCCCTGACCCCAACAAGGCAGCCCCAGTAAGTTCGAAATGAGGGCCAAGAGACAACTAGGGGGCACAGCACTCCCTTTAGAGTTGCTGAGGCCAAATGCCCTACCCTTGGGCCTTGTCTGAGGCATCGCGGCCATCGCGACCCTTAGCGGTCCGCATCGGCGACCTTCGGTGCCCGACCCTGGATCAGTATCTAACACCATTTCACTTTACCTATCCTTTCTTCCATGCCTCATGCTACTACTCCTATGAGATTTTCCGAACATTGACTCGGTAATTTGAAGTTTTCAACATGATGGCAACAGAGGCACGTGCATCACGGACACCCTTCCAATTTGAGCAATTCAGGGACTTTCTCATCACCTTTTTCCCCGATAAACTGGTTTTCGCTGTAAACGCAGTGACTTCCAATCTATATGTGAGCCTGGACCTCACTCAACACTGAGAAAAAAAATTCCATGAGAAAATCCTCCGTGAAGTAGGACTAGAATCCCATTGAGAAGCAGGATTTTGTCCAAATTTGTCACGTTAGAGAAATCCCGCTGTCTTACATGATTGTGACCAGAATCATGTCGAAAAGTCCTGCTACATAACGGGGAATAGTCGGTTTATCCTACAATTATTCATGATGATATTGTAGGGAGTCATGCTCAAAAAAAGGTCAAATCCTGTCTACTGATTGCTTATGTCTGACTGGATGAAGGATTATATTGAGCTATCGACATGATGGTATGACAACATGACTAGAGCACAGCAAATGAGCAACAAATGAGATGACAATCGAAAGGGAGAAGGTATAAAGTTGTAGTGGTGTCAGAAACTCGAGCAGCAGAAAATTTTCGAAGTGAATAGCGGAGAGTTAAGAGCAAATTGAGTAAGAGATTGTTGGGAGTGTGGTAATCGGTGCGACCTAAGGTTAGTAGCTAGCAATGTTACCTGTGAGAGAAGCACACAACCACAACAAAATGCTAAGCGCCCACCTACAGTGCCCCAAAAAACTGTTGCAATGTTTTGCACTTTTCACTTCACAAGCTTATTGCACCCTGGGAAGGGATCCTAAAATTGCATGAAAATATGAAAATAATGCGCTAGTAGCTCATTAATAGCTCCACCAATTCTCTAATAAATGTGTCCATTTTCGGTAAAATTATTCACTTTACAAAGGACCCATGTCATTGCAACGGTTTTTTGGTGTGCATTTTGGAGACAGGAAAATCACATTAACTAGTATTTAGTATAACTACCTTTTGCCCTAAGTAGTGCCTCAATCCTCCTAGGCATACTCTCGATTAAATCCTGGCAGACACTTGGTCCTATCCTCTCCCACTCCTCCTGAAACTGATCCCACAGCTCATGAACACTACTTGGAGGTTCTTCATACTCCCCAAGCTTCCTCTTTACATGGTTCCATGAATGTTTGATTGGATTAAGGTCTGGGGACTGAGAGGGCCACTCCATGACCCTGATACCATGGGTATTGAACCAGTTCTGGGCCCTTTTGCTGGTGTGTTTTGGGTCATTGTCCTGTTGGAAGAGGATGTGGGCTGGGTTTTGTCATAATAGGAGGGGGTTTGCTGGAAGTCCTCTTCCAGGATTTGGCAGTAGAGCTCTGCATCCATCTTCCCATCAATCTTGCATGCCATTCCAACTCCATCTGATGTCATACATCCTCAAACCATGACAAAACCACCACCAAACTTTTTGTGCCTTGCACCAGCCTGTCTGTAAGAGGTTCATCCCCCCATTTCCACATTTCCTCCCATCTGAGCCCAGGCAATTCACCTTAGTCTCACCAGACCACACCACTCTCTTCCAATCCTCTGGAGTCCACTCTTTGTGGCTGATTGCGAAGTCCATTCTCTCCATCTTATGATGTCTGCTGAGCATGGGCTGCTTCTTCTTCACCACTGCTTTCCAACCAGCCTCCTTTAGTTGCAGACAAACAGCCTCAGTTGAGAGGCTGGTGCTGGTGACTTTTTGAAGAATTTGGGTGACTTGTGCAGCATTGTTGGCTTTACCAGAGTTGATAAGATGCATTGCATGATGGATATTGGTGTCTGACAGTATAGATGGGCAACCACCACTGGGCTTAGGAGTGTCAGGACAATGTTTAGACCAAATATGGGTAACAGTGGAATGGTGGACAGCAGTAATTGATGAGATCTGGTGAGCACTGTGGCCAGAAACAATGAGAGAAAGCACTTGTTCAATTTTCAAAGCAGCCAATTGACACATTCTAGAATTGGGGATTACAGCTTAAAATCCATGTGTATTTATGCTCCAGAAATGTTTATTTGTTTACTAGTGTGTATTATAAACAATATCACATGACCTATCAGATGATATTTCCAGTTTTAGTCCATTCTGGCAGCACACCAAAAAACTGTTGCAATGACATGGGTCCCTTGTGAATTGGATAACTTTACCAAAAATGGACATATTGCTTATGTAATTGGTACAGTTATGGACAAGATACTAACACATGTTTCACATATTTATTTAAAAATTTAGAACCCTTTCCCATTGCTTAATAAGCTCTTGAAGTCAAAGGTGAAAAACATTGCAACGGTTTTTTGGGGCACTGTATATAGGGTAAAAATGTACCTAGTAATGGGTGACGATCTTGCAGTTTCTTGCCGATGGCCTACTAGCGGCAACAGGTTTTGAGGTTGAAACAATAGTTTGATGGTATCCAACTTGAAGATCTTCAGAAACGACAGATAGGGAGAGTAAATGAACCTACCATCTACATGCCCATTCCTATCAGCGCAACTAGTCTGTGGGGATTGATCCATGCTCTCACTGACACTGACCCTGCGACAAAGGGGTCGGGCTAGCTTGGGATTATGGCAGTGGACCAGCTTAATGTGGAATGGCACTTACGTTTGGGTCTTGGACGGCTCCACATATTTCCTCCGTTGTGCTAACCAGGCTTGCAAAGAGACCAATGATAACTTACCTTGTTTTCCTTTCACATCCGACCTCTGATTGGTGCTCTTGGGTGTAGCTCGGTGATTTTCACCCTGAGCCTGTTTTCAGCACTTCCCTTTGTTGTAATTGAGGAAATTGGGACCTACGTCACTTCGTTCATTCTCATCTTCACCACAGTCGGAACCCTTGCTGCTATCCTCCATATCTTTGTCATTAATTTCATCACTATCTTCATCAGTGTCATTGATGATGCATCGTCGTGGCACAGCTCCTATTATGATAATGTTAATCTGAATAAACAGGGGCCAGGAACTTACTCTTCCTTTGCACACGTCCCAGCGCCCTACTGTGTCCATCATCATCACGACTCCCTTCACTGGTACTGGGCATGTTGTGCTGAGCAGGTCCGTGTGACTGGGTCCCATTGGTGTTCGCTGCAGCACCATGATTAAGTGCATCTCACATCCAACATGCTGAATCAGATGGGTAACTATGAGGAAAAGTGGACAATGACTTACCCTTTACAGATTCACCTTCTGAGGAGATTTTTGGGAATAGATTGGTGGAAAAAGTATACATGTTACATACCATATTTACCCCCCTTTTTCCGTCTCCTGAGAACAGTCTTCCTATTCTCAATTGTTGTCCTGATTAGTGGATCAAGGGGCCACACATCTTCATAGTCGCGTTCTGTTAGAACGGGCGGATTCAGATGACTCCGGAGTGGAATCGGAGACTTAGCATGGAGGGACCTTGGCCTCAGCAACTCAAGCGGAGCGCTGTGCCATTGCTGTTTGTCCATTTGGTCCTTAATTTCACAGTAGGCGAGCAGGAAGTCTCTAGGGGGCATTTCAGGTCGATTTTGGACTGAGCCTCCTATGAGTATGTACAAGCGCCGATATATATAATGGAGGGGGTGAAAGCACAAGGAAACAAAGGGGAACTGAATCGGAATGAAGGCGTCTGAACGGGAGCAAAGGGATGACAGAAGCGGAGCGGTACCGAAGGTCATAAGACAGAACCTGTGATACGTCCGAAAGGAGGTAAGGAGGGCGAGGCCCAGAGGGGCAGGAGGATGAGGGGAAGTGGGGATGATGACTAACTGGCTAGAATGGGAAGAAGCAGCAGTCCAAATAGGGATGAGGGGGAAACGCGAGAAATACATTGCAAGCGGCAAAAGTGCCGAAGATGATCCACGAAGCTCGGAGGTTGCGGAGCTTACGGAGGCAGGGTTGAAAGTCCGAGGAATATTGGCAATGGTGTTTACGTAGTATGAGGTCACCAATGCAATGGACTAAGACCGAGGTGGAGTCAAAGTCCGAGGTAGGAACTATGACGGAGGCTTGGAGCAAAGGTATGAGCGGTGCCCGAGTACAAAGTACGGGTCAGTGGCGGGAGGTCGTAACTTGGTGGGAGGTCGGTGGAAGAGGACCAGAGGGAAGAGAGGAGAGGTGTCAGATCCGAAGGTGGGTATCGGAGCGGATGGGAGAAGAGTAGGAGGATGACGGAAGGGTGGAGGTGTTGTGAGGAGGGAGCAGAGGAGTAGGAGGAGGGTGGTGAGAGGGGTGGTGTTCGGTCCGAGGTGGTTATCGGAGCAGACGGAGATAGGACAGGAGAGTGACAGAGGAGTGGAGGTGGCATGGGAGGTGAAGGGTGGTGTGGTGCCAGGACTGAAGGTGAATATCGGAATGGACAGCGGTAGGGTAGGATTCCAGAGGTGGGGAAGGAGGAGGTCCGGAAGTCGGGTCGGGACCGGGTATGCATGGATATGACACATTCAAGCCATGGAAATTCTTTCGTCACCTAAGTTGTAAAATGCAGAATCAGGATTGCAATGTAGCAATGACTAGGATACTTACATCGATTGCTATTGTGCCCAGGTGCTGAAAGCCAATTTTGTTATACCTTGTTTCCCCATCTAGGAAAGCTTTTCCGAGGTGGGTACAGACTGCGGTACGAACGGATTCCTGAAGCTGAAGTCTTAAGTATTCAATAATTTGATGATATGAGAGAGCTTACACGCAATAGAGTCATCATATGCTTGTCTATCTGCATTTCCTTAGCAAGGGAATACCCTCCATTTGAACGATCAGGTCGGCCATGTGGCATTGGAATCTGGCCCTGGACGCGTTTTTTTCGTGCTGTATGACTCGGTCAGCTTTTCAAGACAAATAAATTGTTTAAATGGCTCCTTACATGCATTATCTTCTGCTAGGAGCTCTACCAACATGAAGATGCCATAGCATAGCACGAGCCTGAACCAGACACAACACGGGGCACTGTCAGGGATCGGCCCCTGACCCCGCTGTCAGGGCACCCAACCACACCCCAGAACCACCTTCCCAGACTTCCCCCACTTCCCAGACCTCCCCATCCCTACATACCTCTCACAACTTCAGCCCGCATGTGAGCCCGCGGGAAAAATCACGTGGGTTAAGGCAAGCAACTCGCCTTAACCCATGTGACACCTTTTCCGAGTTGCGGGAACATGCTTGGCTTCTACCCGGAGTCACGTTATGAACTGTACAGTACACTTCCTTTTTATAGTAGCCAAGCGGGGAATAGGGAAACTTACCCTTCTTCTCAACTCAATCCCCGCTTAGGCAAGTTGTAGTTACCCTCTGTAATACATGACAACTCAATCCCCGCTTAGTCCCTTCAGTGAGTTTGAGGAGCTGAGGACAGGGTCTAGCGCCCAACCACCCGGAACACCGCACACACCTAGGACTGAGGTCGGGCCGTCCCTGATCAAGGACCGAGCCCTGACAGGCACAGAGAAAGGGCACACCTTCACGCTCTGCCTCTAGCCTCCTCTGCTCTTGATCAATCTGGGAGATGGTTCGCTTCTGGGTAGGGCAAGGCATAGTTTGTGAGTTGTGTAGGAGATGTAAGTCACGGAGTGTGAGATAGAAATCCGAGAGTCAACATAAACAATGCCAAACATATTCACACAACACATCCAAGTGCTATTTGCCCAACTCATTGCTCTTCCCTCAGTTGTGACATTTTAACCACTATTGGGTCTCTGTTACTCTACATCTGGTGTTTTCATCTGGTACTGCATCCAAACTAAGGACTCCATCACCCCTATGGACCATGGCCACTCTGGCGTGCCACCCTGGAGAATTTTCAGGCACTCACTTAGTACAGCTCGTAGACGGCACAAGCGGGAGAGAGCACGTCTTTTGGGACGCCATGCTATGGTGCAGTCCCAGGAGCCTACAGGAAATCTTGGCGCTTGGTGTCAGGGCCCGGCCTCCATCCGGGGGCGGCCCTACCTCAGAGCTGGACACTTGCGGTGTCCCAAGTAGCCAGGTGCTGGATCCTATCCCAAGCTCCTCAAACTCACTAAGCAGGGATTGAGTTGTCATGTATTATGGAAGGTAGCTACAACTTGCCTAAGCGGGGATTGAGTTGAGAAGAAGGGTAAGTTTCCCTATTCCCCGCTTGGCTGCTATAAAAGGAAATGTACTGTACAGTTTGTAACGTGACTATGGGTAAAAGCCGAGCATGTTCCCGTGATGCAGAAAAGGTGTCACATGGGTTAAGGCGAGTTGCTCGCCTTGACCCACGTGATTTTTCCCACGGGTTCGCATGCGGGCTGTAGTTGTGAAAGATGGGAGGGAAAAGAGCACTACCGGATCCTTGACAATGTGTGGGAGCAGATCGGGGAGGAAACCTCTCGTGCAGGTGACACAATTCCCTCAAGCTTTGGTCATCGCACTCCTAACATCTGGACTGAGCGACACTTATTCACTGCCGAAGACTGGTCCTGTTGGATGATTCATATCGCACCCTATGTCTTGCGAGGCCGATTCAACAGACCAAAATATTATCACCATTTTATGAAGTTCAACTCGATTCTCAAACGCACAATACAGTACTCTTTCACAGAGCAAGATTTAATTGAACTTGAAGACGACATTATTGTGTATGTGAAAGAGTATGAGAGGTAAGCAACCCTGACGCTATTTCTCTGCCTAATGATGAGCTGAGGTCAGTGGTTATCTACCATGTAGTATCTACTACCAGTTTTCTTCCGAACGACTGTCCGCATGCCCACTCACTGTCCATGCTCTCCTTCACATCCCTCTTGATATCCGCAACAATGGACCCCCTTGTAATAATTGGACATTCATTATGGAAAGGTGGTGTGGGTCATTGCTCCCATGCATCAAATCCTGAAGGGAACCGTTCACATCCATCGCCTTACGACAATACCAGGCAGCTCAGCTCTTCGAGATCATTAACCGATTCAACCTTACAGATCTCATGCCAATCAACCCCGACAAAAACCTTCCCTCGCAACATGAGAAGTATTTGTCCCAATCTGATTGTGCGTTATTGTTCTGTGTTACCAATGTCCTTATGCTTCAAGATAATTTCAACAGATCCTATCTCATTCTTACGCAATCCAGTCACGCGCTCCCATATCCCTGAGCCTTCCATTCACAAAAAAGTTGCCAAGCAACTCCGTACGTCGTTTGGTGGTACAATGAGCTTCTGGCTGGAGCTCATCCCGCAAGTAATGCTGCACTGGACCAAAGTTCGCATTGGAAATCGTGGGGATCTTATTCGTGGGGCGATTGCTCACAGTGCAAGTGTGAACGAACGGAATTTACACGACGCATCTTTTGTCTGGGTATGTCCAACCATATTGATGCATCACTAGGATTCCCTTCATCGCTTATACACATAAATATATCCACATAGTATGAACTTAACATCGATATCAAAGCACATCTCCCCAAGGCCGAGCCCGAGTTCATCTGGCAGGTCTTTTATGGTCGCCTCGAATATATACTTGAATGTGCCATTCCACCAAATAGGGTTTCAAAGAATGGTGAGCCAAGAATACACCTTCTTGCTGTAATCACAACACTGGACACCGAAGGACATGATGCAACCTCGGAATTGACATATTTCAAAGCGGTCTCCTCATATGTCGAGGTTGTGGATCTAAACGCTGTATGTGCCGTTGTTGGCCGACTCAGGGTTGGGAAGGTGGATCCACAGTGGGCAATTGTAGATCGCAGCGGATCCTGGTCTCGCACCGTATTCAAGGATGATCCACTATCTATGGGTGCCCAACAGGACATACTGTACTAACACAACCAACAACCGGTCACGCGTCACACGAAGGTCTTGGATTGAATTAAAAATCAACACAACTGAATTGATTGGGTGCCTCCGGCAATTGCCGGAGGCCGTGGGAACCGGTTGTTGGTCGTGTGAGTACAGTAGGTTCATGATGTACACGTCATAACGCGCATTACAAAATAGTAATATTACGACTAAAAGATTATCGTGCACATAAGTTTTGATGATAAAATCCTCCTTGCGCAGGATTTAGATAGTCTGAAACCTCAATCCTGTTGTGCAACAGGATCGACGAAAAATCCTGTCACCGAGAATCCTACACAGTGCCAAGATATTTCACGGAATCCTCATGTGTGCATGATTTTACCATGGAATCTTTTTTCTCAGTGTCAAGGGGGCGGGCGGGCCGGTTTGCGGTGTTCTAAAGAGGAAGGCATTGTTGCAGACCGACACATGTTCGTCTGCAACAATTCTTTGGTAGCTGTTTGCCCGCAGAGTTGGTCTCCCCATCTGGTGCTAAATTGACACAAAATCCACATCGCAGTTGGGGGGTTTATTTGGTTATTTATGAATCACATCCCGCCATTGATATCTTTTCTTTGCTGGATAATGGGTTTCCCCCCAACAACACTCCCAGGGAACCACTAGCAGCGAAAAGGCTCGTATTAAGGCGCAAGCAATGCGTTATAAGCCCTTCCTGAGGATCGTTTTTCTGGATCTTATATTATGGACCGCTCAAACCTTAGTGTCAGGGCACACCCGCCTGACCCGCCTCCACCCGGGCCCACCTCACCCGGTTCCCCTTCTCCCACCCTGCACCCCTCCTTCATACCCCCTCCCCCTCTATCCCTCTCCCACTTCCCCTTCTATTTCCATTTCTATTTCTATTTCTATTTCTACTTCACACGGACGACCTTTCCCTTATATCCATGTATTATTGACCCGCCCGCGACGCACACACGACGTGCCTAGCCCCGGACGACCCCGGACGGCTCTAGGGTGCAACCTAGTGCGCGCGCGTGCAGCATACACCCTCGGGATCCCCCACAGGGACACCCGGGTGACTGCGGCTGTATGCGGGGTGACGTGGCGGACCTCATGTGACCCAAGCCGCATGTATATAAACACACCTGGGGTGGGAACCGAAGAAGTAACCTTCTTCTCAACATTCCCACTTCAGGTAAGTAGCATAGTTCCCCTTTTAATAATAACTCAACATTCCCACTTCAGTCTAAGTGGCCAGGGATTGCCGTCCCACATCGGGGCTGCCAGTACGCATGCCCGATCCGCCCCCCGTGAGGTCCTCAGCACCGGACGCTACGCCCGGACCGCCTCGACTGCGGACGCGACCCTGACAGCAGAAGAAGGTTTCAACTACCCTTCCTCTACCTCCTCCCCTGCCATGGTGTCAGAAGAGCAGTATGACGACCTGTTGGCCCGGTTTGAAGAACTACAGGCCATTGTCGAAAGTCACACCCTGAACCGGGCCGCACCTGCACCCGCCCCCATACCCGCTCCTGCCCCCCCACCTATGCCAACACCCGCGCCCAGACCCAAGGGCCCCAAGGTTGCCCCCCCTACCCCCTTCTCGGGAGCCAGCAAGGATCTCGACCGCTTCAAAGCTGAATGTGGTATCTACTTCCACATCTGCGCGGCCGAGTTCCCCAGCGCCCTCTCGCAGATCCTCTTCGTGCTCTCCTATATGAAGGGAGGGACCGCAGGAGCGTGGGCCACACAACGCACCATCACGTTGCTGACGGCCAGCTCACCCGCACTCACCATGGACGAGTTCAACACAGAACTCGATGCCATGTTCCAGGATCCGAACCGGGAAGCCACAGCCCGGCAGAAACTGGCAAACATCCGACAAGGGAGCGACTCCGTGGATAAAGTCATCCAGGAGTTTGAAATACTAGGACCCACCTCGCGGCTAGGTGACGTTGGGCTAGTCGACCGCTTCGAGCAAGCAATCAACGCCCGGCTCCGCGAGAGCATTTACCGCCTCCGCCCCATGCCCACCACCTGGGCTGAATGGAAACGCGAAGCCACCCTCCTAGATAACCAATGGCGACGTTTCCAGGCAACACAGCCCCGCACACCCCTGTCTAGACCCCCACTCCCGCCGGGACGACCCCTACCAACTACCGCCCCCTCTCACCCACGCCCCACGCCCGCACCCGTACCCCTACCCCCGACTCCTATAGCCCGCCATGCGAGTGGAGCAGGCCTGCAGCCAATGGACCTCGATCACTCAAGAATCGACCAGAGGAGGAACGGGCTGTGTTACAACTGTAATGCCCCAGGGCATGTTGCCCGGGAGTGCCAGCACCCCAAAGTCCGTCGGGTACGACGCCTCCACCCTGAAGACCTCCAGGCGCTGATGGAAGGACTGAAGAGCCAGTTGACAGGAGAGCCAGAGACGGAGCAGAGAGGGCCGGAGGAAGGTCCCCAAGAGGATTTTCAAGAGGGCGACCGGTGAGGGATGCGTCCCGGCCGCCTGTAGCGGACAACTCGTGTAGATACCGCAGCACATGTAAGCCAACACCAATGCAGAAGTTCCACCGAGTTATCGCGAAGAAAAAGAGGAAAAACGCATCCTCAGCCCGTGAAAGCAAGAGAGACTCAAGGGTAGCACCCGAAGTAGCGGTATCCCCACCCGCTATCTACGTCCTCTCGAAGCAGTCCCCCAGGTCACTCAACCTTACCGTAAAGCTGACCACCCTGACCTCCCTCGCCTCTGTATCTGTGTCCGCCCTCCTAGACTCCGGGGCCACCGGGAACTTTGTGAGCCCCGAGTTCGTTCGGAAGCACAAGCTCGAGACGACCCCGCTCCCACAGCCCATCCCCGTCCGTAATGTCAATGGGACCCCAAATGAGAATGGAGCCATAACTGAGGAGCTAGAAGCCCTCCTAACATTCGGGAGACACACAGAGCGGGCCCGTTTTGCTGTTGCGAACCTAGGACGACAATCCCTCATCATTGGGCACTCGTGGCTACTACACCACAACCCGGAAGTGGACTGGGCGCGACAGAGGGTTATCATGTCCCGCTGCCCATCGTCCTGCCAGTCACCACGGGTGCCGGACGACCAAGACCCCCTGATAGAACCCGGGGACGGGATCTATGCTGCGATCATCCCCTCGGGGTGGGGCCATGACTTAAGGGCGACTACAACGCCCTCCCAGCGAATGGCCCAAGAGGCTCGTGAGCCGGACGCAGAGCCCGCATCATTCGAGGAGTTAGTGCCAGGTCATTACCAAGACTTCCGGGACTTGTTTTCGAAAGAGGCTTTCGACCGACTACCCCCCCGGAAGCCTTGGGACCATGCCATAGACCTGGTGCCGGATGCTAAACTGCCCAGAGGGAAAACTTTCCCCCTCTCATGCCCTGAACAGAAAGAACTAGACGAGTTCTTACACGAGAATCTGCAGAATGGGCGCATACAGCCGTCCAAGTCTCCGATGGGAGCCCCGGTCTTCTTTGTCAAAAAGAAGGATGGGTCGCTACGGCTGGTCCAAGACTATTGAAAACTGACGAAATCACGGTAAAGAACTCGTACCCCCTCCCACTCATCTCAGACGTTCTCGCCCGCCTCCGCAAGGCCAAGTACTTCTCGGCCCTAGACCTACGCTGGGGGTTCAACAACGTCCGGATCAAAGATGGTGACGAGTGGAAGGCAGCGTTCGCGACCAACCGGGGGCTATTCAAGCCCATGGTGATGTTCTTTGGCTTGTGCAACTCCCCTGCAACCTTCCAAACGATGATGAACGACATCCTCCGGGACTTCATCGACCGGGAGGTTGTCATCTGTTATATGGATGACATACTCATCTTCACTTCCACCCTGGAGGAACACCGGAAGGTCATCCGGGAGGTCCTAGAGACATTGCGGATGCGAAAGCTCTTCCTGAAGCCGGAAAAGTGCAAGTTCGAGCGGACCCGGATCGAGTACCTCGGTCTCGTCATTTCTGAGGGCAGCGTTGCAATGGACCCAGTGAAGGTCCGTGGAGTTCTCGACTGGCCGACCCCAACCAAGGTGAAGGAGGTACAATCTTTCTTAGGGTTCGTGAACTTCTACCGTCGATTCATCAGAGACTTCTCCGAAAAAGCACGACCCCTCCACGCGCTGACCCGGAAGACCAAGGCCTGGAGTTGGGGGCCGGACGAAGACAATGCCTTCCACGCCCTTAAAGAAGCCGTCACCTCTGCCCCCGTCCTTTCCTTCCCCACAGATTCGGGCCCTCTCAGGCTCAAATGTGACGCCTCCAACTTCACGACCAGTGTGGTCCTCTCCCAACTCCAGTCGGATGGAGAGTTCCACCCGGTAGCCTTTATGTCCAAGAGCTTTACGGACGTAGAGCGGAACTACGAGGTGTACGACAAGGAAATGCTCGCGATCGTCCGGGCCCTCGAAGAATGGCGGCACTTCCTAGAGGGTGCCGAGGAGAAGGTCGAGGTTTACACTGACCACCGCAACCTGGGGTACTTCCGCACGGCCCAGAGACTTAACCGACGTCAAGCACGCTGGTCCCTCTTCCTCTCCCGCTTCTACTTCACCCTCGTCCATCGCCTGGGGAAGCTCATGGGGAAACCGGACGCGCTCTCCCGCCGTCCTGACCACCCGAAGGGAAGGGATGACAATGAGGGGCTGACACTCCTCCAACCAGCCTGGTTCGAGGCCCGCGCGACGGAGGCAGTCTCAGTAGAGGGCGAGGAGGCGGATATCCTGAGGAGGATAGGAGAAGCGAAGGATCAGGATGAGCAGGTGGTGAAAGCCATGAGAGAACTAGGGGAGGGGACGCTGAGGTCGGACGAGTGGGAGAGACAAGGAGAATTAGTCCTCTACCGGGGAAGGGTGTACGTCCCGAAAGACCTGCAACTCCGCCATGATCTGGTACGGCTCCACCACGACGCGCGGGCGACGGGGCACCCAGGACGATGGAAAACCCTGGAACTCGTCTCCCACGACTACTGGTGGCCTCGGATGGCAGAGTACGTCGGGCGGTACGTACACGGATGCGACACCTGTAACCGTGTCAAGTCCTTCCCCACATGGAAAGTTGGAAAACTTACCCCAAACAAAGTCCCCACCCATCGCTGGCAGGTGATCTCAGTGGACATGGTGGGAGAGCTCCCAGACTCGAAAGGCTACAATGCCATCCTGGTCGTAGTGGACTGCCTGTCGAAATGTATCCATGCGGTCCCCACTGTGACGTCCGTAGACTCGGCTGGGATCGCCCGGCTCTTCCTGGAGCACGTCTGGAGACATCATGGGCTCCCTGAAGAGATCCTCAGTGACAGGGGAAGCGCCTTCGTCTCGCGCTTCTCGAAAGAACTCGCAGACCTCCTGGGAGTCAAGCTAACCCCTTCCACACCCTACCACCCCCAGACGGACGGACAAACAGAGCGGGTCAACCAAGAGATCGAAGCCTACCTCCGGGTATTCGTCAACCACCGCCAAGACGACTGGGCGGATTGGCTCCCGCTAGCAGAGTTCGCTTACAACAACCGAGTCCACTCCTCCACCCGCCGGACTCCCTTCGAACTCAACACTGGACAGCACCCCAGGATGGGGACAGAGCCCACACGCACGTCCGAGGTGGAAGCCGCTGACGCCTTCTCATCTAGGATGATGAAGATGCAAGAGGAGGCGAAAGCAGCACTGGAACATGCAGCGGACGAGATGGCCCGCTACTATGACCGGGGTCGCGAGGCAGCCCCTAAGTACCAAGAGGGCGACCGGGTCTGGCTCAATGCCCAGAACTACACGACAGACCGCCCGACCAAAAAGCTGGACCATAAATGGCTAGGCCCCTTCAAAATCGTCAAAGTCGTCTCCCCAGCCGCTGTCAAGCTCCAGCTTACCGCCCGACAGAAGGGGATACACCCAGTCGTGTCCGTGACAAACGTAAGGCCCCACCACCCAGACGAAATCCCAGAACGACCCCCTGACCCCCGCCCAGGCCCAGAACTCGTAGATGGAGAAGAGGAATATGAGGTGGAGAAAATATTAAACTCTAAGTGGTTACGCCGGAAACTCTGGTATTTGGTAAAGTTCTCTGGCTGGCCGAACTCCGAAAACAAATGGCTCCCCCGGGACCGGCTGACACATGCCCCCGACCGAATCGAAGAGTTCCACCAGGCGCACCCCCAAGCCCCAGGGAGAGAGAGGGAAAACCCCCTGGCCGCTTCGAGGCGAAGCGGCTTAAGGAGGGGGTGATGTCAGGGCACACCCGCCTGACCCACCCCCACCCGGGCCCACCTCACCCGGTTCCCCTTCTCCCACCCTGCACCCCTCCTTCATACCCCCTCCCCCTCTATCCCTCTCCCACTTCCCCTTCTATTTCCATTTCTATTTCTATTTCTATTTCTACTTCACACAGACGACCTTTCCCTTATATCCATGTATTATTGACCTGCCCGCGATGCACACACGACGTGCCTAGCCCCGGACGACCCCGGACGGCTCTAGGGTGCAACCTAGTGCGCGCGCATGCAGCATACACCCTCGGGATCCCCCACGGGGACACCCGGGTGACTGCGGCTGTATGCGGGGTGACGTGGCGGACCTCATGTGACCCAAGCCGCATGTATATAAACACACCTGGGGTGGGAACCGAAGAAGTAACTGTCAGGGCACACCCGCCTGACCCGGCCCCACCCAGCCCCACTTCACCCGGTACCCCGCCACCCAGTCTTCCCCTACCTCCTCCCCCCCCTTCTTCTTTCTTTCTTCCTCCATTCCACTCTCTCTTTACTTATCTCACCTTCTCTTTATTTTCTCTTTATTCTACACGGACGACCTTTCCTTGTATCAATGTACCATTGACCCACCTGCAGCGCGCTCACGACACGCCCAGCCCGGGCGCCTCGGGCGACCCCCACTATGTCCAGCTCGCGCGCCCACAGCGGACGCCCTCTGTTAGATACTGATCCGGGGTCGGGCACCGAAGGTCGCCGATGCGGACCGCTAAGGGCCGCGATGGCCGCGATGCCTCAGACAAGGCCCGAGGGTAGGGCATTTGGCCTCAGCAACTCTAAAGGGAGTGCTGTGCCCCCTAGTTGTCTCTTGGCCCTCATTTCGAACTCACTGGGGCTGCCTTGTTGGGGTCAGGGCTTGGGGTCGTGGTCAAGTTGATATTAGAGCTAAGGTACTATAATGTAGTATACAGGATATATATATGAAGGTGGAATGAATAGAAGCGGACCCGGGCCGAAGGCCGAAGGGTCCGGAAGCAAATAGGAACAAAGAGCGGGGTTGGCCGCACCGCGGCCGGCAATGACCGAGGGTCAAAACAAACAATAACAGATAAATAAACGAAGGGGTGTAGGGCCGCGATAGCGGCGATGGTATCATAGCGGAGTAGGCGATGTCGCGGAGTCACGCTAGGTCGGTACCAGAGGCGGACTCGGGGCAGGGAGGTCGGTGTGGCTGTGGGGGAGTCGGCCAGGTGCAGGGGAGCCTAGGGGCAAGCGGGGAAGTGAGCAGGGGGTCCTCAGGGAGGATAGGGCTGAGGTCGGGGCTCGCGCTCACGCTCGCATAGCGGTAACGGGCTCGGGCGGCATCGGGACGGGCGGCTAACGGGCCGGAATGCACGGCCGTGACACCCTCGGGATCCCCCACAGGGACACCCGGGTGACTACGGCTGTATGCGAGGATGACGTGGCACCCGTCATGTGACCTAAGCCGCATGTATATAAACATACCTGAAGTGGGAACCGAAGAAGTAGCCTTCTTCTCACCCTTTTCCACTTCAGTCTAAGTGGCCAGGGACTGCCTCCTGAGCCGGGCCCGCCAGTACGCACGCCCGCTCCACACCCCGCGAGGCTTCTAGTGTCGGGCGTCTTACCCGGGCCTCCTCTACCCCGGACGCGTCCCTGACAGTAACCTTCTTCTCAACATTCCCACTTCAGGTAAGTAGCATAGTTCCCCTTTTAATAATAACTCAACATTCCCACTTCAGTCTAAGTGGCCAGGGATCGCCGTCCCACATCGGGGCTGCCAGTACGCACGCCCGATCCGCCCCCCGTGAGGTCCTCAGCACCGGACGCTACGCCCGGACCGCCTCGACCGCGGACGCGACCCTGACACTTAGGAGTCGACATATCCATAGCTCTTTGCACCGTAGCAGCTACAAAATGTACACCAAGTCCCCAACCTCGTCTAACAGCTTCCCGAAAATTCTTTCCGCATCACAGCCGCAAAGCTACCACCACAGACTAAGAGAGTTTTTTTTTTTTCCTTCAGGCACTATGATACCGCATATCACTTGAAACGTTCGTGCTAACGCTAGTCGCTTCAGCAGGTGGTTCACTTCCACGACACAATCGCCTCATATGAACAAACCAGTACATGCCCGCGTCTCCGCAATAACTGCGATCCACATAGTACCTATCAATCTTGCCCTCGCGAGGTATTCTTGCTGCGTCGCTTGGAAGTTGATAATTTCTGATTCACGAGGGAGTTGTATCGACTTCGCCATCGAGAACGGCCCACGTCATCTCGGTGTCATCTACTTTGCTCGTACCAAGGACTGTAGATTCGGTGCAATGCGAGTGACCATGTAAGTGCAATTATAAACCGGAACGCATGGAGCTGCTGCCACCGACCTCTATTCCTGTTTTTGACAAAAGCTTGGCCCATGTTAGTCGAGCGCTTGGATCGTCATCAAGCCCCACTTCAAGCACCGTGACGCCACGCTCAACGGGTTTCCCAACTGCTGTGAGATTCCTGTCAAGAATTTCCTCGAGGTAAGGTTGACCAAGCATGAGAAGGTGCTAAAAATGTCTTCAGTCTGGATTTGAATTAGACGAAACATCGAATACAGGCAGCTCACTTTGTGCTCAGACCCTCGAAGCGCTTTCCACCATGCGTTGGTGAATTCGCCATTCTTCCACGTGGGGCTCGCTTATTACACACCAAGGCAATAGAGGGAATTGAGGATCGACATATGGATGGTATCCGGCAAGGCAACCTACTGCTACAGTGGAGACCCTTGGCGGACAATTCTTCGAATATGCGATAACCAAGCAGTTCAAGTAGCTGCAAAGTCCGAGCATTCATAGCATCCGCTCGACCCAATTTGAGAGGGCCATCAGACTTGTCTGTGTGTTGTTGCGGATGATTATTAGCGACACGGTATTGAGATAGTTGCGCTCACTGACTATTACGCAAGACAAGCCAACCTTGTGAGCCAGGAGAGCAGATGCCAGGCCAACGGGGCCGGCTTGAGGGAAAGACATTATTCCTTGAACCGGTCAGAGGGATAGCAATACAAACCTCCAATGACAAGAACATCTACCTCGACAGCGGTAGTCCGTGAATGAGGGGCAAAGCCAATCATCCTTCTCGTCCGGGCCCTCGAGCATCCGAGCTCATGTCTTATAACTATGAATGCTCACTACAAATTGTGCGAAAAATTCAATCCTTGGACGATGCTGAAAGCTGGGCTATCGACATGCACTGAAAGGACAATTGATGATTCAGAAGAGTATGAGTCCTAATGACAGGAGCTCGAGATCCAGCCGTAGCGAGTCTTCGCAATCCAAGGGATTATTGTGAATAACCTTGATAGCCTTTCGGAAAGCACGGCCATTGGGCATGCAGTCAAGATGCGGTGGGATAGTGAACTGTGAGTAGAACGAGCGCTTGAGTCGGTACACTGATGGTTAGGCGCGAAGGACAGAGTGTGACCGGAAATCAGCCGTTTGGTCACTCTGAGTGTGTGTCGCGGGCAGCCAGATGCCAAGTGAGAGCGCTTGGGCATGAAGCAGTGATCGATTGGCAAGAAGCGAATTCCAAACATGAGCATGATTCTCATCCTTGATGGACGGACGCGCCCAGCAGGGACGGGACCGACTTTACAACGAAGAACTCATACTACATCATATTCGTTTTGCTTGAGATGTTGAAAGAAGCTCCGCACCCATTCGGTTCGGCCAACTCCGACCGAGTGTCGAATTCGCTCACTCTTTTGGAAAGTGATCCCAAGCACTTACCAAGCACTGAGGGTCCTTCACTATTCAGGTTACAGGCTCCTGCCCCGATTGTCCCTTCCGCTGCTCATGTGCTCTCCAATCTTGACTCTGCCAGTGCAACTGCCACGCCACACACAATAAGTAGCTGATGCCCATACAATGGGCCGAGCAGTCTATATTGCGATTGAACCAGCCCGGCTCCCTTTCGGATAACGACACTTTGCTCCTGGTCCCCTCTGCCTCTGTGATGAATGAGAACACGAAAAATGATAATTCTCTAGGAATGAAGGACCATTTTAACGTTTGTCCAGGTCACAGGTGGTGACTATGTGTCCCTCTTGAACAAGCGTCTGGCGTTTATTATAATAGGAGAGTTACTGGCGTTGTAACTGCCCATTGCATGGAAATCAACCCATTCGAAAAAGGCATGAGAGCAGGTCGTTGCCGTGATAAACGGTGCTCACCGATTCTTCCAAATCAAGTAGTCGACGTCTGGCTTCATCTCCCTGTTCCAGTCAAAATCTCGAATCATGTTTGACCCTGTTTCCTTGCGGGCTGACTGGATTACACAATGGGATGAACATGTATCACAGCGGCTCTCCCTGATGAGATGGTCGGCTCCAAACGGAAAAGTATCATTTCCTGACTAGTTTATATCCTCGTCGAAGGGATCAAATATCGTCCAGTTTGGGGCACTCTAGGATATTACCCAATGATCCGATCCCACTCGGCTACCCTCAATGTTCCACCCGCGCCAAGCATCCCACTTGCAGCTCAAGTTACTAAGAAGTTCTTAGCTCCCTCCATACCCCGTCCTCAAACCACTCCCCAACTTGTGGATGCACTTGTCGCTAGAATTGTTGATTACATGCTCTTCAGCAAGGGCGATCTGTTCGAAACTTCTGGGCGAGCGTTTCTTGCGGAACGAGTCCGTTGGCATGTGGATCGTAACATTCAGATTCAGCTGGCCTTGCCTGCGTTTCCATTCAAAAGCCCCAGCAAGGATAAAGTTCTTGGTGCTCTTCCTGACATGGCAGAAGAGATCGTTCTCCGCAGGTGGGTGGCATTCGTCCGGTGAGCTCTATTAGTGTTTCCCGTTTGGTTAATTTGGAGTCTCCAGATTGGAAGACCTTTGCCGATCGCTCGAGGATCTATATCCACCTGGTGCACAGCTCCACATCGTATCGGACGGCATTATATACGGAGGTGCGTAAGATGTTCTTCCACACCTCGGGTTTATGGACCTTTGCTGAGGGCACCCATCTGCATTTCCCCGTTCTGCAGAACTCCTAAGGGTCCCAGAAATGACTATTTACCGATATAACACTGCGCTACGCCCGCTTGTCTCTTCTCTTGCTCTCACGCACATCTCCTTAGTCCGCGTGCGTGACTTGCTTCAAGAGGGTTTCAATGCAGCTACATATTCTCGCCGTGACATTCCCGAGGAGGAGTACGTCCTCTCTTCTCGCGCAACCCGCGAGGCTTTCCTCGCAACCGAAATCGGCAGGTATGACGTCCAGAAACAGATTAGCAATGATGAAGGCGCGTTAAGGACCTATCGAGGATACTTGAAATTTTTGAAGGCGGATTTGAGTGGCGTGCATTTGCATTGCGATAAGGCTAACTGTAAAGAGACTCTCTCTAAGCGAGGGCGGGAGAGAGCAATCAGTGCCATCGCTAAGGCAATGATGCGGAATGGCGCCGTAAGTCACATTGCTTATGTGTTTGTTCCGCTTCTCTGACTCTACATAACACAGCTGTTTTCCGCTATTGTTGCGAAGGCTTTCCCCGATGCCGTTCGACTCAGCATTCATCCTCACCAAAATGCTGGTCCTAAGTTCGCCCTCAAAGTTTTCCCGAATGTTGATATCGTTTGCACGCCGGTAATCATCATGCTCCACCTTCTGTCCGCGTGCGTGCTCACTTCATAACTTGTAGTGGCACAATGTCGTCGTCGAAAACGCAGATGGCTCCATCACTATTGCGCATCGGCACACAGTCGATACTTCAAAGTGTGCTCTTATATACCGGCATGGTCGCCCCTATCATTTCCGTGAGATTGACGCTGACATGGACTGGGGGAATTCGAATATTCCTTCGAGAGACTGCATCCGTTTGGGATGAAGGTCATTGCGACTGAAGTTGATGGAAAGAAGTGGCGATGGAAAGACGTTCCCATGGCCAAAGTCAGGAGGCTTGCAGGGAAGCATTCACTTTTGATATTCAAGGGTTTTGAAGGCGTTGATAAAACCGACTACATTGCAAAGGCGAGGGAGATGGGGGAGGTAACGTGAGTCGTTCTCATTTTGCTTATTTTGGCTGGTGGGTTGTATCTCAATTTTTTTTCCAGACCCTGGGTTTTTGGCGAAGTTCTCGAAGTGAAGGAAAATCCTCATTTCGATTTGAACAACGGTATCATCGTGTGGTCTTCACTTTCGAGGGACAATGCATAATGTTCATTTCTAGTTCTCACATCGGAGGCGATGCCAATGCATTTTGACGGCACTTTCAAAACGAAGCGGCTTGCTGATGGAACTGTTGTTCCGGATCCTCCAACCTTCCAAATGTTCCAATGTCTCGAGGCACCCCTATCACACACTGGGGTCAAGGACTCAGCCTCAGATATTGGTGGCCGCACCCTGTTCGCTAATACGGCGAACATCTTTGCCGAATCGCTTTCCCGCTCACCATATGCAGCTGATGTGAAGAGCCGTATGTGGACAGTGTTTATGCCTGCCAATAAGAATTTTGGCGGAGACGAGATCAAGGTGCCATTGTTGCAGAAAAACTCCTTGACGGGTCATCAGGTCTTGTCGTGGCATGAACCATGGTGAGTATATCTTGTTAACGTCACTCTTCATTCTCGCAGTTTGTTGATTCCCTTCATGCTGCCTTTCCGCAGGCCCCAAGAGATCACTGCCTTCAAGCCGACGGCTGTGAATATCATTGGTGTATCACCTGAGCGCTCCACGGAAATTAGCAACCGTGTCACTGAGCTGTTGTATGACCGTCGATATTGCTACGAGCATACGTGGGAGCGAGGCGATTTTCTAATTGCTGACAATGTTGAGGTGCGGAAGGGATGGTTTGTCCTGATGCTGGTGGGACTGACCATCTTCTCTTCCTTCACAGCTGATACACGCTCGCACTGCTTTCAAGCCTGGCAAGCGAGAGCTATGGAGAATCCATGTTAATTAACTGTTAACTTCCTAGACCCAAATGGAAATTTACCACCCTGCCAGCACTAGATTGCGTATCCTGTCTTTTTGATTGCTGTATGCATCGGTTGGGAGTAATTCAATTTGGTCAAATCGAGTCTTCGAGAATCCCGTGATGCAGAAGACATGTAACTTCGGGCAACGGAGTTAGCCGAAGATATTGGACCTAGCGTCCCTAATCGTGCTCACTTCTCTGTCTCTACCTGGACTTCTACTCAGTCCTTTGGGATAACCCTAGATTTTACCTAGCTAAGCGATACTTGCGACTTTGTAGGTAACATCGTGGGGTAACGAACTAGCAACGAACTATGGCTGCCGTCCCCGCGTGGACTCTGGAGAACGCGTCAACAAGCAGTGACAGCGCCTCTTCAGATAGCCATACCCCAATGATCCTTGGGGTGAGTGAAAGAGGTGTGAGTAACGCGAAAATTCTGGCCGCTGTGTTTCTATGTCGCGTCCATGTTATTTTGTACAGCGATCAGGTGTCCCAAGAAGGTGGGCTGCGGCAAATGTGGACCGCAAGCGATATCGGGATTCTCCTTCCGATGAGGACGAGGATGTCACGGTTGAGAAAGATCTTAGCCAGAGTCGGAGTAAGATACGTACGATGAAGTCAAGGATGAAAGCGAGGAAGACTGTTACTTCCTCGTCACGAAGTCTCAAGCCCCTCACTCCTTCAGATCGCCCAGTGGATAGCACGTCTGTACCTGCTGCTCATGTTGGCGACTATAACCTTAGCAAGAAGCAATTGTCGTTTACCCCCAAGAAAAAATCAAGAGTCACCGCTAGCAACACAACTGCGACTCCAACCAGTAGTGTCCCTGTAGCATCTGTCACTTTTGATATTCATAATGATATTACTGTGGAAATTCCGCCGGCCATTTATCAACCAGCCAAATCAAACCCCCCATCCACTAATAAACCCCCAAGTAATCGCTCCCTTTGCGAACATGCATCCATTCCCACCAATTCCCCCACCCCTTCTTCTTCCCCTTTGTCTTCCCCTCCTTCCATCACTACTACCCCCCTTCGACAACAACAACAAGCTCCCTATTCGCCTTGTCCGGTGACTCCCACGCATTCCTTCATGCCCTCATTATCTCAACGAAGTAATCTTCCTTCAGAGCTCCTTAGCTCGCCCTCTCCCCCTCCTACGGACGAAGCCGTGGCTTCTTTCCTACCTGAAATCGCTCAACTCATTTGGGTTAGAATATCCAAAGATGGTGAAATCAGTGAAGATGGAGAACTGTGGTGGCCTGCTCAGGTAAGAGTCTAAGCTGGAACGAGATCACCCCGCCACATTCGTTCTCTCATATGATCCTACGGGAGCATTTATATACTATTGTGCCTAGGTAATCGCGTTAAAACCGGATCTCAAAGTCAGCCTCTGCGGATTCCATTCGACGGGGGATCGAACGACATTGAAAATCACTTCTGCGATAGCGACGACGTCTCAAGTACTTGTTACGTTAAGTAATGCCTTAAGAAGGGATAAAACGCTCAAGGAGTTCTTGCCACCGAATCATTTGCGGAAATATAGGAAAAAGTTGGAAGGGGCTGTGAAAGAGTGGCTCGACGACGAGGATTTATATTATCGTATTTTTGGCGAAGAAGAGGAAACAGGGGAAACAGAAGGGCAAGAGGAGGATGTGGACGTTGATAATGAAACTGATGAACTTCAGGATGATCTGCTTTATTTAGAGGAATGGAAAAAGGCCATGACGAGGCATGAGGAGCAGCATAGGATGACAGCAGAGTCGTGGTGAGATTCGGTTTCAATCCTCCAACCGTGGGGTAACATCAGGCTGTATCAACATTCATGTTCTTTTCGGGGCTAATGTAGCCCCGCAGGTACCCTTGTTCTTTACCGACGTGGAGTATACCGATCGGACTGGTGGCCTGGTGAAATTCTCGGTGTCGCTGAATTTAAACCCATTCCACAAGCGAAGAAGCGAAAAGGATTGGTTTCTGCTCTCTGTGCGCTCGAGGTTCTCCCCGCTCACTCATTCAAGATCATGAATTTTGAAGGGAAGCACCTTACAGCTACCAAGGAGTACTTTTATACCATGTTTGAAAATGGATTCTATGAGGTGCCGGTGAGTTGCTTCGGAACACAGTCTATCTTCGGGTCTCTGATGATTCTTATTTCTTTCCTTTTTATGTTTCAGCTGGGCAGGATTAAACCAGTCATGCGTCGTGGATCCCAACATCCCTCTTCGCAACCTCCTCGGGAACCAACCTTCCCAGCGCCAACCTATGGGACCTTTGATGGTACTCCAATCTCTCATCTCCTTCCTTACGTGCTTCCCATCATGAAACTCATCATCAAAGATCTATATATGCCTATTCGGGAGAACGTCGATGACTGGTATCAAGATCCTGCGTCAAGGGCGTTACGTGGAAAGCAAGTGCGATATGGGATGTTTGAAAGACGCGGGGAAACGGAAGTCCTGGTGGATGAAATTGCGAGGATTCTTTTGGGGGTGGGGAAGGCGCGAGAAGATCTTCTCTGTGAGGATGCTGGGGGTGGTGGAAGTGGAGATGAAGATAGTAGTAATGACGACAAGATCCTAGGGAAACAGACTGGTGAAGTGAGTTTGAGCGTTCTGGTATTGTTGTTCTTCGCTCATGTTTTAAGAAGCATTCGGCTGAATGGTCACAGGAGGATAAGAGGCAAGGAGAACCAGCAGCACCTTCTTCCTCTCTGGCCACCCGTTGGACGCAACCCTCCAGTGAGTCATATGATGAGTCTCATCAGAGCAGTCGTACCTGTATCGACGGATTGTCGAGTGTGAGTATGGAGGTTGATGTTGGAGTGAATGATGATGGAATGACCCCTGACTCTGTGGTGGGGACACGCCCTTCGTTGGTACCGGGAGGTATGAGCGGCCCACATTTATCTGTAGCGATAACTTAACGGACAACGGTTTATTTAGAGCGGACTACTGCTTCTAGCCTGCCAAACACATCGCGGATTATCGGATCGCTTAGATACGAGCAATTGACGGATGTTGCTAGACACCAGGTGCGTGATGAAGATCCCTTCTTGAACACGTATGGTCCTTAAGCACTTGTTTGCTGGCGTGTTTCAGTTCGTAGTGGATATCGTTGTGAAAGAAGTCATTATACAGTTGTACCTCTGGCGTGAGAACATCCGTACGTCACTACAAACCTTGAACGATGACGAGGAGAATGCTCTTCGGGAGCAAGGTATCGCTCTTCGGGACACGAAGGTTCCGTTTGATTTATATACACAAGCTAAGGCTATCCGCGAAATAAGGAACGCTACTAAAGCACCTCCGGTTCCCAATGGAGACACCGGACTTCTGCCTGGTACCAGCGGGTCTTTGGCCGAAGGGAGATCGTCTCGAATTTTACGGAAAAGGAATTGACTCGCACTTTCTCCTACGTCACGAGTGTTATACGCAAATGCTTAGTGTTGGCCTGCCATATTTCTTTATTTTCTCATGCGTATTTTTACTCTATCAGCTAGGGACATGCTTTGATTGGACAATGTTCGGGCGCAACCCGTTCTTGTGCAACTCTATCTGTTTCTGTTTGGCGTTCTGGATCCCAATCGTATTCCTTTCACCTTCACTGAGCCAGAATCGCGCGTTTCTTCGTTCGATACAAATGGTTTCCAATGCATGAAGTACTCCAAAAATGAGTAGACACCATTACACAGGCAGCTGACGCAAATTGATATTCGGAATACGAAAAAGGAAGAACGACAACATGCAAGCCTCCCTGGGTATTCGGAAGGGACGTGTGGTTCTTGAGTGGTCAATGGATGCGGAGGAAAGACCTATTCTCCATGAAGGTTACACATGAGTAGGTGGATGTTGGCGAGGATGTGCTGGATGAAATTTGATTCCAGCTCTTCAATTGGCAAAACGAAAGCGGTTTTAGGTCATGAACACTGTATGTATAGAAGGACCCGAGTGCATGCGGGGCACTGGTCGTCTTGAATGCGCTGTAACTCTGTCGGTATTTGTGCCATATCTTGAGCTAAAATGGTGTGATGACGTCTGGCTTAACTAGGACGGGTTGCTTGATCAGTTGGCGTGAGCATCAATATTTGATCTAGGAGGGTCGGATTTCCGTAGTCGTAGATGGGAACGGCAAAGGACGACGGAAGTTCGCGGGGTTTCCAGCTCCTGGACCATAAGGTGATCCGGCTCAGTGGGGATGGTTGGGGCGTTCCGAGACGGCAATCCGCATGAGTATAAGGGTCAAAAAAACTTCGCGGTCGACTATTACTAATTAGAATGATCAATCCGATATTTTGACGCAGCTTTAAATCCTGCCCAAGGCGGAGATACAGTGGCATATAGCATTATTTAGAAACCCAACCCGGGCAATTAATCGCTCCACAGGTACATCACCGCGCGTGAATCCTTCACGTCAGGCGCTCGGGTGGCCTTGTTGATGTGCAGATATATAGTAACACTGGTGGGGGCCCGACTCGATATTTCACTCAACTCGATCCTACAGTTTGGAAGATGGCAATGTAGGATTCTCTTGTGTGTGCCAAATATTATCCAGCTTGTTGAGTGTAAGCGATAAGCTTACATAAGCGTAGAGAAGCTAGAACCTTAGTAGATAGGAAAAGCAGAGATCTTGTACTTTACACCCTCTAGTGTAATATCGAGTTCGACTTTGGTTCAGCAACTTTCGATCACCCTAAGATTTCGTGAGTCCCTTACAGCAAGCGACAGAAAAAACCGCACACCTAATTTGGATGAATGACCCAGGCAGGTCTCGTGATGATCCAAAATGGTAGGCAGGTTACCAGCTCTATTAGAATAGAGGCTGGTTTCAATCTCGGTCTAGAGTACAGTGAATTGACCATTATTCATGAATATCAGCATCTTTCCTTCCACATCCTTGGTGATAGGCAGGACTCCAGCCTCTCTGACTTCGTAACAATAAAGAGAGGCTGGAACCAAACCCCAGTTGATGAATGCGGATTTTTACTGAATGGTTGTCACAGTCGAGAAAGGGTCCTCACAGTTGCCATGGGTTACTTAAGCAATACAGTTTAAGTGAATGGAAGGAGAACTTCGGGATGAAAGATATTTGTTTATATTTACAGTACAAACAAGTGCAAATTCTTTTCTCGATCCCACAATGGATGCATTCCAAGTCAAGATCCCTTCTCTACCGATATTCTACACGCCTGGTCAGACTGGGAATCTTGCAGGCTATAGACAACAAAAAATATTTTCTAGACCTCACCCCAATGAAACTTACAGCCCTGCTACCTCAATTCCATCACGGGGCCGTCCCAAGCGCAAAGCTGCAGAGGACCAGGATTCTCCAGTGAAAAAAATCTGCGAGAATTCAGGAAGAACTGCTGTTATCGCCAACCAACGGGCAGAGTTCATTGGAAGCCCACCAGAACCACTCTCACCATCAAAGCGGCTTAACAGAGAAGACCAAGCCAGGAGCTGCAACGCATTCAATACCATCGAGTCGGAATGGATGGCATCCAGTTCTTCCCAGACACCGACGGAGTGTGATAAATGGCAAAGTACCTCGAGGTGCCCTTCATGTTATAGCTCTGCCCCCGAGCAATTATACCTGCTGGGCAGCCAGCCCAGGCCCAAGCCTCTGGCAACAGTAGAACTGATACTGTCGATACTGAGATCGCGGGATATCACACTCGGCAAGTTTCTCATTACGCTTTTTGGGGATACCACGCACTTAAGTACATCAGCAAAGGAGATGCTCAAGTGGTTCATAGGGGGACGTACCGTGAAGAACCACCCTGTTGACATTGTCCATGCATTATACAGTCATCCATGGGCCCGGCCCCAGCAATCGTATGAACCCACCTATGACACACTGCCAGAATACGCTATTCCAATGATGAGTTCTCAGCCAGGAACTCATTCAGACATCAAGAACACGTACAGCAAGCTACAGGAGTACTTTATTGCACACATTGTTGACCGGCTGGAGACAGAAGTCAGGGCTCTTCTCAAAAGCCCTTACTTGCGTGCAAGAGACACCGCAACAAGCCGATTTAGCTGGGATACGGTCCTAGACTTCTCTGTTAACACAGTCCAGAAGATGGCCCTCAGCGTCGCACCTGTGACCTGGATGTTGTTAACATGGATTGCAGTTGGTGGGGAGAGGGCGGAGCAGCTGAAAGAAGTGAAATTAAGGGACTCTGGGAAGGGACGTGGGTCGAATCACGTACGAGATCCCTATTTAGTGAGTGAACGATTCAGTACTTGCTAGCGAATTAACTGATGATCGTGTGAGGGATGCACCGTTGTGCTGATGGTGCTGTTGTACTTTCGTAATAAAGGGTTAAACAAATTCCAGAGCATCATGGGATTACTCATGTTCTCTGAGAATTCTTCAAAGTCATTACAATCCATCACTGGCCGCATCGGACTTGCAGTCGCGAATAGCTCAACTCTTCAGCGCTTATACTCAATGAGCGCGGTTGCATCCGAGAAAATTCGCAACATAGGGGCTAACTGGGTCAACAAGCTGGCTTCATTCCATGTCGTTTATGATAACATCAATCAGTACCATAAAGACTGGCGGCCATCCCTCTCTTCACAAACATGTATGGAAAGTGGGACTGCTGCCACCTTGATCATGCAGCCTGGCGTGGCTGCAGATGCTTTCGATGGTTTTGAATATGAGGAACGCCGGCGGCACGTCAAACGTGATGACATCACGTTAACGAGGATTTGGGATGACGTTGACCGCAAGCACCTGGAAAACGTCTGTGTCATCAACATATTGCGTCTGTTACTCGATCACATACCTGGCCTGAAGCGACACAAGAACGACTTCGACAATTTCAGGCAAACTGCTGCGATTCACCCAACGCCACTCCAAATCACCGAAGTTATCCCCCTTGAGACGTCGGGCTTTGATGAGGCAACTACTATGGGAAACCGTCAGACAATCCGCGACATCATCGAACGCCAACTTGGGATCCCTCCACATGCTGTCGAAGGACGACTCATACCATTCTCCGGTGATCAGGCCACAATATCACGCATCCGAACCCTGAAGCGCCACACAGCTTCAGGGTCTTCTTGGTTCTCTTCAAACCGTTATGTCCTACCGCTTATCGAGCTTTGGCACATGAAGTTCGCAATGCTCAAAGGGATAATTAAAGCTCACTGGCCAGAGCAGACCGAAAAGGGCGACGTTGGTCTTCGCTTCGCTGCCGATAAACTTCGTCGGAATTTAAACCCCAACAAAGTGGATTTCTATCCCGCTGAGAGACTCATTGAAGTTGTACTCACAGCGATGACGCTAAATTACATCAGGTATTTTTTACTTCCCACTTCCTCCTTCACAGCTCACTCGTAAGTTTTCTTAGACATATACTTCGCCAGAAATCTTTGAAATGCCCTGTCCGGGAGGACAGGAAGCCGATGCACCTTACCGAAGAACTCGAGGCATACACAAAGGAAGGAAACTTTCTCCATTCATGTAGTTTCAACGATCTCTACCGCCTTGCTTGCGATGCATACCATGCATTTGGCTCGACACGTTCCGGTTACATGGCCTTGTCACCCGATGTAAGCGATGGCCAGTCATACTTCGCCCGCTTCATCGATCCTCAACTGGACTCTCTCTTCCCAATGCCAGAAGAGCCCTCGATTGTATCCAATATGGCCCGACGAAGCTGTGAGCAGGGTGAAAGCGATGAAGACGATGTGGACGAAAGTGATGACGAGGCTGGTAATGCCAATGACTGCATCGGAGCATCAATGAATATTGATTTGACTTTCGATAATGAATCTCTCACCTTCGAGATGCCAAACAACACTCGTGGCGACATCTTAATGCACAACAATGCATTTCTTTGGCGAGATTTGCTTCATTACTGGGAGCTCAAGAGTAGCGTGAAGGAAGGAGATGTAGGACAGACGTTTGAAGTGATTAAGGTGAGAATAGTTGGAATTTGGGATTAAACAGTGCCAACTAACCAAGCAACAGTGGCTATGCATGTGGTTCTTCGGCGTTGGGGCGAGCAATTATGGCCACGAACTTTTACATCAAGCGATTGATTTATGGTTCAATTTCACGGCGGCGACGAAGAAGGCAGTCTTTGACTGGTACATTTTGAATGTATCAGGGTTAGTTGGGGGGCGAAAGGAGAGAGATCTCCTTCAGGAGCACCACAACCTTGCAATCAAGCGGGTGCATAATGGACGCTTGGCAAGGTTTGATTCGAGGTTCATTCGGGAGGCCGTCTCCTTGAATGTCGTGCCACTGGGTCAACTTGCAAACACGATCAAGGATCGGCTTGGTCTTCACAAAACCGTATCGAACCGAACCGATGCCGAATTGACAGCGGACATCAACTTACTGGGTCACTCGTACTTAGTTCAGCGACATCATCTCTATCATCCAAACCGATCACAATCCTACTTGGCAATTGATGCACTCTCGCATGGTTATGCAAAACTTCGCAATGGGGCATTGAGCAACTTCTTGGACAAGTACATGACTTGATAGGTGAGTATTCTATTTATGAATCAGCGCCCAGCTGTCTATGCCTGCTTTTCTAATTGCAGGGTTTCGTCCATTAACAGGCCACGTGCCGATCGCACTCTCTTTCGCTTTGACTTCCCCCCATCTTCCATCTCACCATTATCCCCTGTTGGCTCCTTGGACCCTGTGGCACGCCCTGCCCCTCCCTCACCATCTATCGCTTCGGCACCATCACTTG